CAAACTCTTCAGGACAGAGCATGCTGGTTGGGACAAGTGAAACTTCCCAGTTGTATGTCTCCCTTCTATATTAATGAAGTTACTTTCCATGAAACATTTATATAAATACACATGGATGTAAAAGAAAGTTCAAAGATTTGAACAGTGCCATTTATTCCCCCAAACACAGCTCCTCAGTAACAAGACACATCCATACAGGGATGAGGACTGAAACCACAGCCTGCAATGCAACCAACATGGGAAGTGCAACTGGTGGAGGAGCACACTCAGAGTGGCTGGCTAGCTGTCCCTGGGGAGCCTCTCTCTCTCTCTCTCTCTCTCTCTCTCTCTCTCTCTCTCTCTCTCTCTCTGTGTGTGTCTCTCCTCTCTCTCTTTTTCTCTCTCTCTGTGTCTCTTACACACTCTCTCTCTCCTCCCTCCTCCCTCCCCTTTCTTTCCTCCCTTTCCCTTACCCTTTTTCCACCTCTCCCCTCTCTCTCTCCCCTCTCCACTCTCCCTTCATCCTTATATGCTGGTGCTCAAGCATGAAATCAGGGCCTGGGCGCTATCCCTGAACTTCTTTTGTTAAAGGTTAGCATTCTGCCAACTTGAACCATAACTACACTAATGGCTTTTGTTTAGGAGTTTACTGGAAATTAGAGTCTCGTGGTCTTTCTTGCCCTGGGCAGCTCCAAACCCTGATCGTCAGTTCTCACCTCCTAAGCAGCTAAAATTAAGGCATGAGCCACCAGTGCCAGGTACATGCTCTGCTTTGATGCATACTTTCTAACGCTTTGAAATGTTATTCCAAAGCTTTAAAATGGAAACAAATGTAATGACTGACCCTAGAACAGAATCCTCACCCTTAAGGTTATTGGTTGGAATTTTTTCTTTCTTCTGTAAGAATATAGCTGAGATTTTTTTTTTTGTACAGATACTGAAATTCTTCAGAGGGTTTGGAAAATACATTTTATTGCCTTTGGTCTAGTAATTCCAATTCTAAAGTTAGGCTTCATATATTTAACAAGGAAAAAGATTTTAAATATATTTCTTACCAAATAATTAGCCAAAACCCACTTGACCCATCTGACTCTTTGGGAAGAGAGTTACTGAGGCTTAAACTCAAGGCCTCACACTTGTTAAACATGTACTCTAATACTTCTTGAGCCAAACTTCTATCCCTAAAAAATTACTTTTTTAATTAAATTCCTTAAATGACAGGATAAGAAAACAAAAAGTTATTTTCTGTTTTTTTTTTTTTTTGGTCCGGTCATGGGGCCTGAACTCTGGGCCTAGGTGCTGTCCCTCAGCTCTTCAGCTCAAGGCTAGCGCTCTACCACTTGAGCCACAGCGCCACTTCCTGCTTTTTTCTTATGTGGTGCTGAGGAATCAAACCCAGGGCCTCATGCATGCAAGGCAAGCGCTCTACCACTGAGCCACCTTCCCAGCCCCCAAAAAGTAATTTTCTTACCTGAAGACAAGTTTACAAAATATTCTTTCTCCTTATCTGTACATAATATAGTAGATCACAATGATAAAAAAAAAAAAAAACCTTATCAGGGTTAGGGTTAGGGTTAAGGTTAGATACCAGTATTAATTATCAAGGGACTAGGCTCTTTAAATGATTAAGCTGAGTTTTGTAGGTTTTATTAAAGCAGGTATGCTCTACCAACTTTTTTTAGGCTTTACAAAAAGTTCCTGTATTTCTTCATTAATCTTACTTTTTTTTTTAATTTAATTTTATTTTATTTGTGAACATTAATCTTACTTTTTAATCTTCCTCATTTAATATGCCTAAATTTCAAGACTCCAGTTGTAATGATACTTTATATATATATATGTATGTATGTATTGTACACATGCATGTATGAGTCTAAATATCTATATTTTTAGAGATCTCTGTAGACCTGTCTATAGCTAGATATAATCATGGCATATTTCCCATATTGTATACATCTCTATGTATCTATATATCTATGATATAATTAACTTCTTTTTGAGCTTCAGTGAAAATACAGATTGTTACAGGTTCTACTTCTGTTACTTTTTTGTAACTCGTGATTATATATCAATCATTATATTGATGTTATTGACTATTTGTTCTGTGTTTAAAATTATAGACAGACCTCTTTTCAAGTACAAAGCCTCAAGAAGAACAGGAAAAAAGTTCACTCTCACAGTCTGCAGCTGTCACATATTCTTTATTCCAAGAAAAGAAGATGTCTTTAGTAAGTGCACTTTCAAAGAACGTTTTAGTTTATTAATATGTTTAATCAGCTTTGCAATATGAAAGCTGTGAGGTGGGGTCAATGCTAAATGTATAGCGGCTCATTTTTAATATAAAAACAGAACATTTTCCTTCAGTTAAGCCTATCTCTTCATTAAGTAGCAGCAGTAAGAATAATTTGACCATGATTATCTTACAGAAGTTGTATCAGGTTACAGACCAATACATTTGTAGCTCAAGGATAATACAGCAATATTTTAATACTAGTTTTTAGAAATGGGACTAAAAATAATACAAAAGTGAATAGTTTCTTAACTGTTTTGTAAACTTTTCATTTATGTATTGTTAAGAAAACATCTTCTGGGTCTAAGATGGTAGAGTGCTTGCCTAGCGTGTGTGAGAACTTGGGTTCAGTTCTGAGCACTGCCATAAAAAGAAAAAAGAAGAGATATAAGATTTTTTTTAAAAAAGATGCAAAACATTATGTAAAAGGTGTGTTTATATGAATGTTGTTAAATTCACATTATTCTTGTATGTGTTAAAAATGTTCTCTACAGTGTTGCCCTAAAAACTAGAAACAGCTTCAAACACAAATTTTTCTCTTTGTGTCTGCTAGCACTGATTTTTTTCCTCCTTTGTTTTTTAGACAATATGGGTTTTTTGGGGGGAAAGTGGGGTGGAAATCTAATTACTGTTAAAATGACCATACTTGTTCTAACATAAAGCCTTTAGGTTGTTGAGGTTTTTTGACATATAAATGGAGATTATATCTTGATAGTATAAGGCTTCCAGTTACATTGTATTGATTTGCATTAAATTGATTTGGATTAAATAGATCAATGTTCTACTGCCTGTTTTACCTCTTCTCTGTGCCCCTATCCTATATTACTTTTCAATCAGCTTTAGGAAGAATAAACAAGCCACATCTGATCTCACTCACTTAAATGATCTAATTAAATAATCAAGTTTCTTAACTAAAAGTGTAAGGGCCATGTAATTCCATTGTATTATTTTTTAACTAAAACACATGGTAAATGGGAATTTCAAATTGAATTCTTATGTGAACAATAACTTACATGCACATGTTAAATATTCTCTATGTGTGTATATATGTGATTTAAATATATGGGTTTGGTGGAACTGAATATAGTTACTAAGAAAAATTGGTATGGGCTCCAGATTTTCTGAATAAAATATACTCTAATATTTAGTCATAATAAGAATTTCATATCTTTTCATGGTTAAATGTAAAGAATGGTTTATTTTCATGTATGTCTTTGTAATATTTTATTGTGCAGTATGATGGTTAGTTATCTCTACCTCCCTGGAGTCTAAGAAGGTCTTGCCAGTTAACCACAAAATTAAACCTGCCTAAGGACTAATTAATCAAGAGCAATAATACAATTAGTTTTAGGTAACTTGATGCCCTGGATCAAATAACCCTGATATTATGCACACATGGTGCACACTTCTTAGTAGAAAAAGGTAGACATTTAATGAAAGTAACTTAATACCTATCTTTGAAAGATGATAATATTGCTTTAAATGGTCTATTCTGAGAAAATGTCAACATTCACAGAAATACAGCCTGTTTAGATTTTCAAAATATATTGAAAGTATCATCAAATGAGATGAAATTTAAAATTTTCTTTTTAAATGAATGTTTTAGCTAATCATATCTTAAATATATTTGAGTCATATCTATTTAAAAAGCTTTATAAATAAAAAATATTGCACTAAATTGAATATAATTCACATTAAGTTTAGTTCTTGGTGAGTGATGACAGCCCTTGTTAAAATCATGGTTATTTTAAGAATTTAAAACATTATGGGCCTTTTTTAGGGTGCATTTTGGAAAAGTATGTTATCACTGAGAATTTTAGAATTTGTCTTCTTGGAAGTTAATGTGACAGAATCACTATGTGTTTTTCAAGTGTATAGAATGTTAGAATAGTGTTTTCTACCTTTTCAAATAGACAACTAGTTGACAGCTATTAGAGCTGACTATAGAATGACTTTTCTTTCTCTTAGTAGCTTTTTATGTTGAATAGTTAGGGATGAGCATTGAATTCTTGGCTAAGGTTAGGTAATTGTGTTTTATAAGTGAAACACCTGTGTAAGTTTTCAGTGATTTTTCTTTAAAAAAAATAGTTCAAACGAAAATTTAAGTTAAGGTTTAGGCCACTGTGAGCATTTGCCACTGGAAAGTTGGGGGTATTTCCTTTTCATGAAATACGGAAACATGGACACTCACTGGGTCTTTTTGCTGTTCTCTCTTTAGCACAGCATAGCTGAGAACAGGATTCTGCCTCTCACAGCAGTTGGTATGCACTTAGCCCAGGCAGTGAAAGCTGGTTACCCCCTGGATATGGAGCGAGCAGGCCTGACTCCAGAGGTTCAGAAGATTATTGCTGATGTTATCCGAAACCCTCCCATCAACTCAGGTGATAAACAGGGCTCTACCCTTCAGCCTTAATGACTTGAGTTACTGAAACCTAGATGAAGTAAACAAGTAGTCCACTTAAATTTTCATTTTAATAGCATCGATCTTTTTGCTACTGTGGAAACCGTACTTTTGTAATGCTTTTTCATAAGCAAAGGCAGTCTTTTTTAAGAGTTTTATTAATTGCTCATAAGAAAGTAATGAGAAATTCTTCCTTGCCTTTTTAGCTTCAGATTAATTTTTCCACACATTCCAAAACAGAGCACTTTGGTCTTTTTCTAATTTCCATGTTATCACCTGGAAAAAAAACAAACCATATTTTGAACTACAAGAGGTAGTTAGTTCATCCCAGAACTCAAAAAGATGAGGCAGGAGGATTCTAAATTCCAGCCCAGCCTGGGCTACTTTGGAGGTTAGCCAAATGGTGAGATCCTGTCTCAATTCCCTTCCCCAAAATAACCAGAACACATTTTTCCCCACATGCATTCAAGCCTCTCTGATTCTTTGTTGGTTGTACTTGAGAAGCCTCTCTAGTGAGTAGTGAGTGGTTTCAGATACTGTGGTGTTGCACAGATAAGGCAAACTCGGTAACCCCTGTAGGAGGAATACCCTTGTCTCTGTGCTGCACAGCCTCAACTGTGTTCATAGAGGTCAAGCCCTGTAGACATTTTTAAGTAGTGATCCATTTTTTTATAGAAATAATGTAAGTTGTGTTAGAGGATTTTCCAGAATGTTACATAGAGCAGTGGCCATTCAAATAGTTTTATCTCCAGCCACGTGTCCCGTGGCACAGGCCTTAACCCTAGCTACTCAGGAGGCTGAGATCTGAGGATCATAGTTCAAAACCAGCCCTGGCAGGTAAGTCTGTGAGACTTATCTCCAGTTCACCACCACCAGAAAACCAGAAGTGGCTCTGTGGTAGAACACTAGCCTTGAGTGAAAAAGCTTAGAGATAATGCCCCAGGTCCTGAATGCAAGCCCCACAAGTGACCAAAAACAAAAAAAAGGTTTATCTCCAAAGCTGTGTGAATCATTACTTTTTATTATTCAAATTCTTTACAGAAACTACTACAAGCTTCTTCCTAAGAATTTGGAAGGGAATAATGGGAATGACTGCTTTGTCATAGCTCATTTGATTCTGTTCTTGATTTTATACTTAAAGTCAAAATTATTTCTAGGCTTATGTAAGACCTGATAATGGTATAAACAACAAATACCTTCATGAATCCCAGTACTGTATAGTGCCAACACAGGAAAAGAGACACAGGCAAGTTTGGTGGTATAAGATCCTGGATCAGGATTGGTGGTCAGTGAGATTTCTGCTATATTGATACCTGTTGATATGTTATATAAAGATTGTATTTGAGATAGACTCTGAACAAGTAATTCTGTTTCTATGTCAGTTCCTACCTTTCTGATTATAATTTGATTTCCCATGCATATCCCTCTGTAGGGAAACCATGCTCTAGTCCCATTAATTTGCCTAAATCATAATTGTGCATTCTTAATTTTAAGTTAATAAATTATTTTATATAATAAATTAGTATATTATTAAATATATAACATACACACATAACAATAAATTTGTATAATAAAATAAGTTAATTTATGATTTTGGTCAGTATGAAACTAAGGTTAAATTAAGCTTTTAAATTTGAAAAGCTGAGGATCAAATCCTGTGTGAGTGTAAAATAACCAACCAAAGTTAGCTGTAACTCACTCATAAAAAAGCTCACAAACTCTTTTGGTCACATTCCAGTCTTTCTAACATGAGCAACTATTTTGTCAGAAACTAAGGTAGTGGAAGGAAAATAGGAATTCTTTGTAGGTTAGATTATGCTGTATAAACTTTGTCTAGTGCAAAAATGATACAGTGTTTTAGGGAAATCCGAAAAGATAAAGGTCTTCTTACTTTAAACTCTCTGGCGCTGTTGTTGTTGTTTTTCTATTATCATTGTTTCTTAGGACTTGTCTTTTGAAAAGATAGTATAGTGTTAGGCAGTATTTTCTTCTAAGGAGTTGTGCAGTTTTTTTCATTGCCTTTTTTTTTTAATATTGTTATTCATTCTTGCTGCCATCTAGTTTACATGAAGACTGAAAAATGGGACTAGTCTGGTCTAATAAAAAAAAAAAAAAAAGCAAAGGCCCTGCATGCAGACATAGCTGTGTTGAGCTTTGGACTGCCATTTTGTGGCTATGTGACTATTGGCAACTTACTCTATATCTTTGAGTTCTAGTTTTCTTATCTCTAAAATGGGGAGGGATAATACTGACCCTTTATAGAGTTGTGGAAAATAAGCTAGATACTACACAGAAAGCGCTCCTGTATGGTAAGTCAGAAGTAGTGATGCTAGTGAAAAATTATTATTTTTGTCAGTCAGGGGCTTGAACTCTGGGCCTGGGCACTGTCCCTCAGCTCTTCAACACAAGGCAGGCACTCTACCACTTGAGCCACAGCGGTTTTGTGAGTGGCTTATTGGAGATAAGAGTCTCATGGACTTTCCTGCCTAGGCTGGCTTTGAACTGTGATCCTCAGATCTCAGCCTCATGAGTAGCTAGGATTACAGGTGTGAGCCACCAGCGCCTGGCTTGAAAAATGATTTTGATTGAGTAGTTGGTCAGATTTTAGAGCCTCTTAAAAATAATCCTTTAAATTTGGGTACTTTTAAACTATCATTTTAAATAGCTAATTAAAAATATATGATGTTAGTAAGTATGCAAGACAAAATTTCAAAAACCTTTAATTGTCCCTTAGTATCTATTAGTTTTCAGGATAGCATGAATGTGAACATATCTGAATACTCAAAGTCTTACATATAATTATGCAGTATTTGCATATGAGCTTCATACACTTTCTTGAATGCGTGTGTGTGTGTGTGTGTGTGTGTGTGTGTGTTCTGGTACTGGCACTTAAACTCAGGACCTGAGTGCTGTCTGTGAGCTCCTTTGCTCAAGGCTAGAGCTCTGCCACTTGAGCTACAGTTCCACTTTTTTGTGGTTAATCGAAGGTAAGAGTGTCACAGACTTTTTCCTGTCTGGGGTACTTTTGAACCATGATCCTCAATCTTAGTATCCTGAGTAGCTAGGGTTACAGGCATGGGCCACTGATGCTCAGCATTCATTTTTTTAATTAAAAGGTTTGGTTGAAATAAATTTTGCACACTCTCAAATTGAGAAAATTTCTGTATTTTATTAGAACACAATCTTAGGATATCTAAAATAGAGTATCTTAGGTATCTAAAATAGAGTATGAATTGAAATCTTATTTTTGTATAATCTTATCTGCCATATAGGTTTTGGCTAGGTTAACTCATCATATCATTCTGTCCCCTATTATTCTTGTTTTTCTCCATGTTTTTATAAGTTCAAACTTCTTTTCTGAGATACTTTGTTTAATAATAAGTGAGACATTTAATGAGGTATCTAGATAATATTTTTAATAATTTATTTGTCCCATTCTTTATGTGCATGTAACTGGAAAATTAAGAATTGCTTCCAAGGGACCTGCCTTGAAAGAAGGAGTAACATGATCTCCTTCAAAGCTCTGAAGGAGTATTGCTAATTTTGTCCCTTAATCCTCCAGTAAATATTTTTTAGCACTTATTTACATACAGTTAGCATTATTGTGTTACATAATGACATAATTCTTTAAAGACCTTAAAAATAGCTGCTGCTTATTTGCATATATATAAAATGTAAGATGGCTCTAATATAAAAATATAAAGGGTACTTACAAAAATGTGTAAAACTGAATTTTCTAATTATGTCTCAGTCATATTAACTTTAGACATTTAGACAGTAGATGGAACCACAGCTGTTTGCTTATGTATCATTATTTTATTTAAAAAGACATTCTAATTTTAGAAATAAAATTCAAAGTGAATAAAGCACCTTTGTTTTTCTTTGTTTGTAACTTTACACTTATACTATGAAGAATTTAAGGATATATATTTATCTAAATTTTAGTAACCCACACAAGAAAATGAATATAGTATTGTGTAGCTGTGTTAATTAAAGTGTGAGAAAACTTGGGGTTTTCTTAGAGTAACATTAACAATTTAGAATTTTCTCATAGCCACATTTAAAGTTAAGCAATGCAATTACCTTTAGTAATAGTAAGGCTCATTGTATCCAAAATTTTATCATTTCAACCTTTAATCAATATAAACATTACAAACAAGGTATTTCACATATTCTGTAATTATACTTTGAAGTCAGGTATTTTATAATTACAACATATATTTGCCACATGCTAATATTTAATTAGAAAATTTGATTTAGCTTTCCTAAAATTTCTAGTTGAATAAGTAGATTAGATTAGATTAGATTACAAAAACTTAAAAGTCTTTCAATAAGTGAATCAGGAGCCACATACCAAGTGCTCAGTAGCAACATGTGGTTGGTTATGGTTCCTTTATTAGGCACACAGTCCTAGAGATCTTTTAATATAAATTAAAGCACAATTAAAGAATATGTCTGTTCTTTCCCATATCTAGGAACGGAAGTATGGGAAGGGCTAGGCTTTGTGGCTCAAGTGAAAGAGCACTTGACTAACAAGTATCAAGCCCTGAGTTCCATTTTCAGTACCACCAAAAAGTAAAAATAAAAATCAGAAATAGTGAGTTGGGAAGGTGGCTCAGTGGTAGAGCGCTTGCCTTGCATGCATGAGGCCCTGGGTTCGATTCCTCAGCACCACATAAGCAGAAAAACAAAAAGCCGGAAGTGGCGCTGTGGCTCAAGTGATAGAGCACTAGCCTTGAGCTGAAGAGCTGAGGGACAGTGCCCAGGCCCAGAGTTCAGGCCCGATGACCGGATTAAAAAAAAAAAAATCAGAAATAGTGAAAGACATATGTGGTAAGATGTTCATGAGAATGTTTTTAAAAGAAAAGTTGAAGACAAATGAAAGGCACTGGACACAAGATAAATCCTGATACACATGTAGGACAAAATACTCCTCAGACATTAGCAATGGTTAGTAAAATTGATGGAGTTTCTGTGGTATTTAAGATGATAGAATGCTCAAGGAACAATGTTAGTCACATTGCTGACTTTACTAGATTTAGAAGTAACTTTTTTCCCCTTTTAATTGGTTGTGGAGCTTGAACTCAAGGTGTACGTGCTGTCCCTGAGTTTTTTTGCTCTACTACTTTGAACCACAGCGCTACTTCCAGTTTTTGAGTGGTTAATTGTAGATAGAGTCTCACAGGGAATTTTCTGCCAGGGCTGGCTTCAAACTATGATTCTCAGCTCTCAGACTCCTGAGTAGCTAGGATTATAGGAGTGAGCCACCGGTGCCCAGCTAGCAGTAACTTTTCCTAGACTATGTTTAGCCCTCATATTTTATAACTTTATTTAGGCAACTGACTGTTTTGTTTTCTGTCAGTTATGTAACCTTCTTTACCTGCCTTCCAAACAAACAAGCAAACCTGCAATGTTTTGGGGAAGTGCTAAAATAGCAAACTAAGATCTTTGAAAGAAAAGGGAACATGTACCTGAAAATTGGATGGCATTTAAAAAATTGAGTTGAGTGTCAGAAATAGTTGTGTTTTTATAAATTATAGAAAGATGAGAGAAAGATTTAAGTTGCTTAGTTTTGCACTACAAATGAAGTCAAATCTGAAGTATAAGTATTTGTGTGCAGTTCCTGCTTGATTTATTTTGTACCTTATAGAAGGTACGAAGGGATTGGGCCAATCTGAATTTCCAGTGGGAACTGTATTATCTCCAGCCCTGCTTGGCTGGCTTTGGGCTCAGGGTTGAGGCAATTCAGGAGGGACATGACTTTATTTCCCTTTAGTGGGGCTTTCAAAAAAATGAAAGTTTTCTTTGGCACCCTTCTTCCTTCTTTTATATACAATATTTTACCATTTTCAGCACACAGATTTGATAAAAAGTTCTGTAAAACTTTCTAAATGCATTTTCAATCTCTTACAGATATGTACAATATAAAACTAATTAGAATGTTGGTTCCTGAAAACATTGATGTGTACCTTATCCACATGGCAATTGAGATCCTTGAGAATGACCATGACTGCAGACCATCTTCAAGCCAGTCTTCCTGGGATTCCAACAGAAAGCGATGTTTCCCCAACTCTGAAGAACCTTGTTCAAGTTCTAAAAGGAGCAAGGAAGTACTCACGGATACGAAGGTGTTAATTATGTAGAGAATTTTCACACAATTTCAGTTTGCTCAATTTGCATGTTTAATACTAGAATGCTATGTTTTTGGAACTGTTAAAAATTCTGATATAAGGTTATGTCCTTATCTATGTGATGTGTTTGCTTTTCAGAATATGAGAAAAGTAATTTTAAAAAATAGTGAAAGGATAATATAGTCCATTGATTCAGCTTATTGTGTATTATATAAGCTTCATTTTTCCTTGTGTTGCTTTTATGGCTGAAGTACACCTTCTTTCAGAGGATTAGTTAGTGGAGTTAAGCCTATGACAGATAAATGGTTACTAAAAACAAACCTAGATCCTGTTATAAACATCTTCTCCCTAAATTTGTTGATCTGTTATTCATCATGGTCACTGTTATAATTACATTGAATATAGAGGGCACAAGGATAATTATTGCTATGGTTCTGAGCATGCCATAGTGTTTTTTGAATAATTAGAAAAAGATTACATATTTTGAATTTTTTTAGAAAGTATATTGTATTAAAATCAAATGCTTTGAAAATCATTGCTTAGTGTAGTATATAATTAAAATAGTGACTAGAGAATGACTTCTCTGACAAGGTGACACTTAATTGATTGTGTAAATTTGAAAATTTGATCTTCAGTTTTCTAGCTCTAAAATTATTGAGCTTTGTGATAAACTTCATTGAATTAGTAATTCACTAAGAGATTATTTTGGCTTTTAACTAGCCCAGGACAAGGTAGTCACAGGCCCCTTTCTAGTGTAAATAAGTTTGTTTATTATCTTAACCATGCCTTGATGGATTGTCATGTACTTTAGAGGTTATAATTGTATAACTATTTTGTATTCCATGAAAAATTTAAAGGTTGAAGAAACACATCTTGATAGCATTTCACTGGAAGACAAAGGCCACAGTAATTCAATAAGACTAACTTCTTGGACTCAGCCATCCAGTGATCCAGAAACAGAAGATTCATTTTCACATTCTCATTCACAGGTAAAATTGACTCACAAAACTAGTTTTCATTATAAATAACATCAGACTTGATAACTAATGTGCTTAGTTTTTTTCTTATAGATGAAAGTACATACACATATAACATTTCTGTATTTGCTTATGTATGTATATGCACATATAATTTGCAAATGAGTGTTTTCTATTCACTAACAGCAATGTCTTGTTAATAGAATTTAGAATATCAAAAAGAGGTAAATAGTCCCATACATTTTATTTTAATTTCTAAGAATTGTAGTATTTTGCTGGTATAAGAAATAAGAACTAGAAGACATAGGTCTCACAATTTAGTTTTCTTTAGATACTGATACAAAAAACACATTCAATGTATTTCCCCCTTTTCTCAGTAGAATAAGATGATTATTATGGTTGCATGAAAAACTTAACAGTCATTGTCTATAGAAATACTATAGTAAAACTTCAAGTGATATTAGCTACAAGAATATTTTGTTGTAATATTTTGCAGATAATCTCATTGAACTTCACATAATCCAGTAATTTATTTACTATTACTTTTTGTATGAAGAATTTAAGATTTAAGTAACATACATAAGGTTATACAATTAGCATATGGCGCAATTAAAACTGAAAAAACTTTTGTTGTTGTTGTTTGTTATGCTTATCCTGTGGCTTTTGGCTACCAAAAGACTAAGGACTTTCTTTATCCTACTTTTGTGTTAATGGCTTGTTTTGGTTTTACTTTTTGGCCTTACTCACCTCCTCACATCACCTAACCCTTAGGTCTAGTGCACATAGGGGTTCAGCCTCTATTTACAGTAGATTATTGTCAAAAGGGATTTTGAATTAATATCTTTTATGAAGAATAAATATTACTGTGTTCCCTGCCCTCCTCCTGTTCTCCTTTTGGTGCTAGAGACTGAACATGTTTCTCTGGGCCCAGCTTGTCTACTTCCAAAATGCCTTTTCTGTATTCCACTTTGCCTTTCTTTCACTGTACAACATTTTCTCTGTTCTTGTTCTTCTCTTCTCTCATTGGAAAGGAACAAAGTTGCATTCCCTAACTGGTTAGGGTAATGAAACATTTGGGTTCCATGTAAGTGGGGGAAAAGAACATATAAAAGATTCCATTTGCACTAAACAACTTTGTATTTTTATTCATTCATTCATTTATTTATTTATTTATTTTTATTTTTGGTGGTGGTGAGGGGCTTGAACTCTGGGCCTGGGCACTGTTCGTCAGCTCTTCAGCTCAAGGCTAGCATTCTATCACTTGAGCCACAGTCCCACTCTTGGTTTTCTGATGAGTAATTGGAGATAAGAGCCTCATGGACTTTCTTGCCTGGTCTGGCTTTGAATCATGATCCTCAGATCTCAGCCTCTTGAGAAGCTAGGATTACAGGTGTGAACCACTTTGTATTTTTAAGCTATTTCTGTTATTTTTCAGATAATAAAACATAATGTATTCCAAACTAAATATAATAGTTAAATATTTTAAATTCATTTACTTAACTAATGACTCTTAAGTACCTTTAATATTTAAGATGTCAGAATTCAATGCTAGTATTATGTCAGTGACTGTTTTGTGCTATAAGGGAATTCTTTTTTTAATTTTTATTTTATTGTAAAGATGCTGTACAGACAGGTTATAGTTATGTGAGTAAGGTAATGAGTATATTTCTTGTCTAGCTTTGTTACCCACTCCTTTGTTTTTCTCCTATCCCTTCTCTCTCCCCCAACATAGTATCTCTCACTTCCAACATAGTGTCTCGTGAGTATCATTGTTGCAATTGGTTATGATGTGTCCTTATTTCAGTATTTTGTTAATCCCTTTCCCCTCCCCAAATTAGATAAATGTATATACAAGATTCAGGGTACCAAAATCAATTACAGTGACAACGGGATATACCATAAGGAGAAGAACATACAAAAGAAACAAAAAAAATCATATAGTACATTAAAAACAACAACAAATAAAAACTTCTTTTGCCCATATATATTGGGGTTCATTTCCCTTAGCGTCATCTTATATGGTCATATATATATAGCTTTTGAGCTTTTCTGCTCATCTGATAAAATTATCCTAGATGTATACTAATTATTGCAAATAAGGGAAACCATGGGACCTAAGTTTCTTTGGGTCTGGCTTACTTCAGTTAATATGATTTTTTCCAAGTCTTTCCATGTCCTAACAAATGGGGGGGTGTCATTATTTCTGATGGAAGCATAGAATATCTATTTATCTATCTATCTATCACATTTTTTTGATCCATTCATCTACTGATGGGCGTCTGGATTGGTGCTAATAATGACTGATCACTCTTCTAGTAATTCTACCATTGTGGATATTAGAAGTTCCATTCTTTGTCATGGTTCTGTGATACACTGTATATGTGTGCGTATGGGGATGTATGTGTGTTCCTCGCTCAGAACATTACATTCAACATCCTTGTCAACCCAAAGCAAATATTCACTAAGACATAGATTTGAAATACTAAGTTTTTCTTGACATATACATTGATGATGGCAAGTAATTGTCTAAATAAATGGTAGTGTGATTTACTTTTTCTGTTATTTCTCAACTTTTTATCTATAGAAATAAATTTTGACCTACAGAAATAAATTACATAGATTTCACTGCTTTGTTTGCTTTGATTTGGTGCTGTGTGTGTGTGTGTGTGCATGAAGAACCTCTGTTACTTTTTGGTTGTAGCTGATAAATATTTTCAGTAGTACAGATATTTCTTTTTCTTTATATTTTCTGTAGACTTCATCTGAGACCTCAAAGAGAAGATTGCCTGACTGGTTTGCCAAAGGAAATACGACTTTAGCTGTATGCAACAAGAAATCAACAACAAAAACAAAAAAGAAAGGTCTTTTTAGTTAAGATGACATTTAAAAAAACAACTTGGCATGTCTCACTGTATTTTAAGAAAAGAGCTATAAGTCATTTCTGAAAAGAGTGAAGAGTAATATTTTAGCTTAAAAAGTATTCTGATTTTAAAGTAAAACTCATCTATTTAGAGCAGGACTGGCATTTTAAATTAACCTACATTTCAGAGTGTTGAGGCCTTCTGATAACTTAATAGAATAGAATGTTAAATTTGATTTCCTTTAAGATCACTTTCAGAAGCCGTACTATCTTGTGATCTTATCTCTATTTGTAACAATTGCATACTTGGAAAACGTAGAGTGTGGTGATTTAATAGAAAGAACAGATTTGTATTATATTGATTTACATAAAAGGGTCTTACCAAAATGGTCTTGTAAATATAAAACAGCTATTTTATGTTATCTTTTCTATCTTTTGATGAAGCTTTGATTTGCATTATTATATAATATTAGTTGACCAGATTTATGAATGAAACATTTGGGTTTCATGTTAGTGGAGGAAAAGAGCATATAAAAGATTCCAGTTGCACTAGACAACTATATACTTTGTATTTCATGCTATTTTTGTTATTTTTCAGATAATAAAAAATAATGTACTCCAAACTAAATAAAAAAAGTAAAATATTTTAATCGCATTTACTTAACTAATGACTCCAGGTACCTTGAATATTTGAGATGTCAGAATTCATTTCTAGTATTATGTTTTACAAATAACTTAAATATCTACAGCCTGTACTCTGACACAGAGTGGGGTCAACTGTGGTTGTGGTTTATATAACTTTAAGCAATTATATATACCATACAGTGTATAATTTCATTCCAAAGCCTCTGATTAACTTTTAGTAAGTAAAAACGATTGTTTTTGATGAAGAAGGAATACATGCTTATGGTATTTATGGTAGAAGAACTAAAAAAAAAACCCAGAATATTTTTTAAGGTCCACTAGAAGGTCATCAGTCCACTCCTTCAGTGTGTCCTGCTAGACCTTCTTATGGTCACCTTGTTTTCTTAGTTTACAGGAATAATGCATGAATCCATTTTCATTATATAACATTCAAACTAGACTAAAAACATGAAAGTCCCTCATCATCTCATTCGTTTGTATCCAGCTACCAGAAGGTAGCTTGTGTTGAATTTATCATAGCTCTCTAGTTGTGTCTTTGGCATTTCTGTGCCTTTGTATGTGTCTCTGAAGTGGCAAGTGTGTTCTGAAGCACTTCTGCATGCTGGGGCATGGTGGTAGTCGGGAATAGCACTCCTCTGATTGTTTAGGTATAAATTAAATTGGAATACCATTTGTAGTGATTAGCAAATACCAACCACAGTGACTGACACTGTGGTGGTTATTCACCCTTGGCTTTGGGTCAACATTTTCTCAAGACTGAATAAATTCAGCTTTGCACTTGAAGAAAAGTAACATGGTATTTGTTGCCAATGCTAAAATTTATAATTTACAGCAATATTTGTAATTTTGGGGAACCTTGTGTCGTTCACTGGGAACTTCAGCCTCCTTTCACTGAAAGACTTTTCTGATATTTTGTAAAGATTATTTAGAACATCTGTGTAATTCAGTGAATCAGTATTTTCTGGATGAAAAATACATGATGTTACATAACTAGGCATAGATAAAAAGATCTGTTGGATGTAAAAAAATGAACCAATGGACTTTAATATAGCAGAGTTTGAAGAAGTTGAAGGTGTAGTTTCAGATTACACACTGCAACTAATCCCTAAGAGCCAACACTTGTTCAGTTTTAGTATACATTCAAAGAAGACTGATCACCATTAAATATTCTTCCCTTTTCCATCAGTGCACCTGTGCACATTCACATTTCTTCCTGGATTTTAGCCAAAACAATATGTCAAGGTAGATTGAATACAGAAGCAAATCTAGAGTCTAGAATTCTAGCTACTTCAGTTAAGGAGATTTACAAAAATGAAACAATGCCATCTCTATTGCTGTTTTAAAATATGATCATTTTGTAAAAATCGCACCCATGGTACCATGTGATGGCATTCCTACTGCTGTTCACACACAAATTAGTATTTTCAAATGTCTTGGTTTTAATGTCTGAAATAATAAATACTGACAGATATAATGTACATTAAAACTCTTGGGACCCTCAAGCTCCTGTTTAAAACCAGCTAATGTACCTCCAAAGAGAGCCAATATGTGAGTATCTGTCTCATACTGAATGGCTACCACTTAGGCATTGAAGCTCTTCTAACATTTGGGAGCTGTCATTATTGCCTGGGACTTACCTTGCTCTCACTTCATGGTTCTGTGTTATAGTGATGATATTGACTGTTCTTTTCTTGCAAGGCTCTTCTGTTAATCTTAGCAAACTACTCATGTTCCAGTCTGTTCAAATGAATCGGGACTGGGGAATGTAGTTCAATGGCAGAGCACTTGTCTAGTATGGTTAAAATACTGGGTTCTATTCCCAGCAACCAGATGAACTCCTGACTAATCAACTTAAAACCTCAGTACCTTGTCCTGTTCTCTCATGTGTTCTGATTGTATCCACAGTACACATATCTTCCAGCATAGAAAATTTACTTATTTAGTGTGTTCATGTATGACATTGTCCATTAAAATAAAAACTCCATACAGGAAGGGGACTTTGTCTCCTTTTTTTTCACAACTGTGTCCCTAGCCTGGCACAAAATAAAACAGCTATTTTATGAGTCAGTGAGTAGCCAAGCACTACATATTTCAGGTCAGAACTCCAGCTGAAGAGGTTTGTGCATCCTTGGTCCTCTCCAAGATCATCGAGATCAACAATCCTGTCTGGTCCCGTCTTCCCTGTTCTGTTATGGTATATATATGTGGTACACACTCAAAATCTCATCACTTAGCAGGCTGAAGAGGACAGACCTCATTTAGAAACCAGACTTGGATACAGAGTGAGACATAATCTCACTACAAAAACAAAAAAAAAGATGCCTTAGTTATTAATTTTTATCTCTCAGTTGTGTGGACCACAAAGCCTCCCTTTCTAACTGTCTGTGCCCCACCAGTCATCCACACATTCGATAAAGTCCATGGCCATGCCAGCTACTAGCTGAGTGACAAATCACTTAGACACTCGAAATTCATTGCACTTAGAGATTCCAGGATTAGAAACCAGGTGTGTAGACCATTTAGCAATTGTAGCTCTAGAAATACTATTAGAAAAGACAGCATCAGCAGCTGGTGTCAGAGTGAAGCAGCCTGTCTCCCAGACATTGCTTGATGGAGCTTCTTGATGAAATCACAGCGATCTTCCATATGCTTATTGTGCTTGTCGGAAGTTTCAGTGTCAGCAGCAGAAATAGATATGTGCCTGGCACTTTTTAAATAATCATTTTTTCATATTATTTTTATTTAAAAAAATGATGTGCAGAGGGATTGCGGTTATGTAAGTCAAAAAGTGCATTTCTTTTTTAACAATGTCCCCCCTTCCCTTGCTCTCTCCCAGTCGCCATCCCCACAGTTGTATAGTTCATTTGCAATAACCATTACTACATTTGTTCTAGTTGTAGTAAACAGTATGATACCTCTTAGCTGGAACTTAGTGGAAGGAGAGAAAGAGGAAGGAGGGTGTGAGAACTGAGCTCTGGAATTAGCCTGAGTATGAAAACTTGAAATCACAACCCTGAGCAAGTCACTCCATAGTAAGTCTTGTTTGTTTTTTAAATTAAATCCACAATTAAAAAAGAGCAGACTTAAAGCATTTGAAGAACTGAATCCGCAGATTTAAGTGTTTGACACAAGTCTTACTGCTCTGAAGCAATAATAACCTGGCTAGTCTGATTCTGGAGGAAGCTATAGAGGGAGTGATATTATACTCAGAAGGTTGTCTAGTGGTTTGGTCTTTGAAAGTGAAGTTAGATAAACTTAGTATTTTGAGACAATAGGCTAAATTTCTTGAGGTTGCAAACTGCTAGCAAAAACTGCCTGGCAAAGCCGGGTGCTGGTGGCTCACACCTGTAACCCTAGCTACTCAGGAGGCTGAGATCTGAGGATCACGGTTCAAAGCCAGCCCCGGCAGGAAAGTCCAGGAGACTCTTATCTCCAATAAAAACCACTAGAAAACCGGAAGTAGCGCTGTGGCTCAAGTGGTAGAGTGTTCGCCTTGAGCTGAAGAGCGCAGGGACAGTGCCCAGGCCCAGAGTTAAATCCCATGACCGATCCAAAAAAAAAAAGCCTGGCAATCTGGACAAAGATCCCTCTCAAAGCTAATGCATCCTTCACCGTGGCCTTGGCCTTGAGCAGCTGGCATGTGAGCTCCTGGCCATCATGTCATTGGCCATTGACCCTGGGAGACATAGTTGCATGAAATATTCTGGCTTCGGAGTTGCTTATCTGTTAAACCAGAATCTGAGTAGATTACCTTTCATTCCTAAAAGGCTTAGTGTAACTAAATTAATAGGAATATGTAAGCAGGAGTGTTGAACAGAAGGAGCTGGGCACTTTCTGGAGCACTTAGAGAAGAGTAGAATTTGATAGGCTTGTTCCCCCATTTTTTTTCATAATAGGGGAAATGTATTATTTTTATTGACTCACTCGAATTTTATACAGTTTTTAAGCATTCTCCAAAATCTCTTGAGTTACCTTTCCTTGTGCTTTGGTTTACGACTTTCACACCAGTGGTTACTGAAGGACCATCTTATCTCAGTAGTTAAACATCGTCATCTGCTGGTCAAATCTGGTAATTTCTGGCAAAAAACAACTTTTTTTTTTTGTCAGTCTACTTATCAAGCCCATTTGTCAAACATCTTGTTTGGATCTTTGTTTTGTCAATTTATCAAAGTTGCAGATATAAAGTAATATGAATATCAAGAGAGCAAGATGGTTCACACAGTGCTTTCTCACATAGATGGTGGGGAACTCAAGCTTTTCTTAAGTTACAGTTTTATAACTATAATTTGATAGCTTACATTTATTTTTAAAAATGTACAAATGGATTACAATTCAACACGTCAGTTTGAGTACAATGAATGTGGATCAGTATTACCCCTTTCATCATTCTTCCCCCCTCTCTCCCAGCCTCAACCATCCAAGTTTGTTTTTTTCCCCAGTACTGGTATTGAATTGAGTGCCTCTCACTTGCTCAGCACTTCCACTCACTCGAACCGTGCCTCCAGCCAAGAATATGATTAGTTATTGTGGAGATTAACAAACTTTCTGCCCAGATTTGTCTCAAAGTGACAGGTGATAAGTCTCACAGACTTTCCTCCCTGGGCTGGCTTCGACCTGCACTCCTCAAATCTCAAACTCTCAGACAGGTGGAGAAGATATTTCCAAGGCAGGAAACAGCCATGCCAGGGCAGGAAATACATGAGAGTGAGTGACATGATGTTTGAATTTGCCAAAGCGCCAAGTGGGATGTGTCACCCTGCGAATCAAGAAGCAACCACTGGGAGCCTTTTGTGTTGGTCAGGAGACTGGCTCAGGCCTTCCAGCCACCCACATGCACTCCTAGGTTTCCCTCATTGTGTCTCTAAAATTCTGTTGAAACATAATGGGCAGTGCACCCGTATTGAGAGGTAGACTTGGCAGGTAATTAGCCCAGTTGGGTTCAGGTCATAGGCGAGAATTTAGGCCTTGGATTAGTGCATTTACCCGTCCATCGTAGTGGGGTGTG